CACATCTCTTTACTCACTTCACGATTCCCCCGTCTCGTGTTGCTTCTTCTCTCTCTCTCACTTCGTTTTCTCTCTTCATCGAGACCAAATCCGCAGAGAGACAAAGTTGATGTTTTTACAGCATAAACAGACACAGACACATTCATGTGTTGTGTCTCCATAATCCCATTACCATTATTAATTCACCTCCAATTTCTTACTTCTCTCCTAAATTCCCATCCTTTTCAGATCCAACACTAACCCAGATTAACAACAAAAAGGGAAATTCGAACAAAACCCATCTGAGACCAGAATTCAAGAGAGAGAATGGGAGTGATATTGGACTCATGGTGCTTTTGTAAAGGAGTAGGCAAAAGCGAGAAGATGAAAGCTTCCATTTTTTCCGGTAAAGCTCCGGCGATGGCTCGAATCTCTGTCTCTGGACCAAATGGAGTTACTTCCGGTACTGGATTCCTCATTCATCGGAATCTTCTTCTCACGACTCACCTCAACCTCCCTTCCATCTCCGCCACTGAATCCGCCGAGGTTCGCCTCCAGAACGGTGTCGCCGCCGCTCTCTTCCCTCACAGGTCCGTCTCACTACTCTCTTTACACTCTCCAGTTTGATTCAAGTTTGAGATTTTTTGATTTTTCCTGTATTGTCGGTTGCACGATTTGTGGGAAAATTTGAATCGATTCGATATAAAATGGCTCTAATTCACATTTTAAAACCAATCCATAGCTTTTCGTCCGACCAAAAGAGAGAGTCAGGAGCTTTATACTGTTAGTTATGTTTCTTTGGTAATGATTCTGGATCTATTGCTAAATTTGGTATGTTTTAACTTTTAGTTTTACTTAAACCAAAATTTATAAGTCACCTTTGTAMTTATTGGGGAAAATTTACCAATCTATTGCAAATCAGATTCTCATCTTTTCAATTTTATCAACATTTCCAAGAAACCTGATTTTTTGTTTTTGTTTTCCAGAGATTGTCTAAAAATGCAATTCATTGATTGTTTTGTAATGGCATTGTGATTTTTTTGTTGGCACTTGCAGGTTTTTCATCACAAGTTCGGTTATTGATCTCACCATAGTTGGCTTAGACATTGTGGATGGAGACACAAATTCTCAGAGCCAAACCCAACAGCCACATTACCTGAAGACATGTTCCAAACCAAACCTGGAACTAGGAAGTGTAGTGTACCTTTTAGGCTATGCTGCTCAGAACGAGCTCAAGATTGGCGAGGGAAAGTTAGTGGTAGCTACAGACAATCTCGTAAAACTCTCCACCGATGAAATGATCTGGAGTCCTGGATCTGCTGGTTTTGATGTTCAAGGGAATCTCGCATTCATGATCTGCGATCCGAGGAAACTAGCGACATCACCAGCCTCAACCTCTACATCTTCCTCTACATCGTTGAAGAAAGATAACAACAAGACATTGATGATGCAGTTTGGTATACCCATACCAGTGATCTGTGACTGGCTGAATCAGCATTGGGAAGGTATTTTGGATGAACATATGACTAAACCCAAGTTGCCTCTCATTCGGTTAATGTCTTCTGGTCAGAAGAGCGAGCGTTCTTGTACTTCATTCACCATGCGCCGTGTTTTTAAACCAAATGACTCTGCTGATGTTGGAACACCATCTTCTTCTAACACTAGGGATCAAACTCATCTGAGCTCTTCTATCGCAGCTGAGGAAGAAAAAGAAGAAGAAACCTCAAAAAAGAATCCACAAGGCGGCACTAGTACTACTCATGCGCAGGGTATCCCGACCCCTGAGATATATGAATCACCAAAGTTGACTTCAGGTCCTTTGAAAAAGGAGACATGTCAAGTACATCTTTTAGATATCAACTTTCCTCCACGGATACCCAAAGTTACAACCTTTCATCCTCAGCTCAAGTCTCCGCAGAGTAATCATGTGGTGGAAGAGGCTGAGATTGCCTCTGAGGGATCAGATGCACAGATTGCTTCGACAGGTTCAGTAAACGGAGCTCTCAGTGAGGTCATCTCAAGCTCACCGCCAGCAGAACCTCACTATGTATATAACAATCATGGATACAGCAGTGAGGAAGAGACAATGTACTCTGCAGAAACAGCCGAGAGCCGAAACTACCCAACTCCTCCAAGAAGAAACCAGTTTCATCATGAGAGAGTTGGAAGGAGCCAAAGCTGTGTGAGCTCCAGCAGATGGGGAACTCCTCAGAAGAGTTCGAGCGGTAGAAGAGAAATGTTGGAGAAACAGAGAAGCTTCGTCCATGGAAAGAAGATGCATTCACAAGGAGCAACCTCGCAGAGGAGTAATGACTATTACAGCCCAACAGTCTCATCAATCATGAAGAAAAGGATTAATAGTTCAGAGGCGAAGATTTTTAAACCGGTACCTAGACCTAGAACTGTAAGTTCTTCCCCAAGATGGATGTTTTAAGGCCAATACAGACCGACGAAAAAGCCAAACACCTTTATAGAAAGAAAAAGACATCTTTGTTTAAAGTAGATGTCTTGCATTCTTGTATAACTAATTTTCTTTCAACTCTTGTGCAGACACATTGAAGAGAACGCTACAAATAGGAAAGATATAGTCTTGAACCGTTCGGGGTTAAGCCCCGATAGCAATCTGTCATTTTGAGTCCCTGGAAGTTAAATATACTGTCGTTTTTGCTATCAAACCATATGGCTTACTGTTTTATTAAAGCCATGGAGTAACAATCAAATGAGCATTTTGCAAACAAATATCATGAACAGCAAAAGCTAGTGATCAACAAACATGGCCATGACTTATTGATTTGTTCTTTGAACTGAACAGTCAATGATTTCATGGTAATGACACGGTTAGAACGAATTCATCACAAACAATTAGGAGAAACTGTAGAACCAAATGAGCAATATGCATATGCCACTCACTGCCTTAGCTTACTGATTCAACAGATATACCTAACACAACTATAAGGAAAGTGAGAATGAATCTGCGCATACAAGAGGCTCATGATGTAAATTGATTTCTTAAGATTCAACATCATCTTTCCCCAAAAACATCTCAACAATCGCTAGACTAGAAAGAAATACAGATCACCAATGAATGGTATCCATTAGGGAAAAAAGGTCTTCCATGATTCCTAAATATTTCTCTCACAAAACAGAAAGATATTCACATAACAAACTACAACTGATGAACATCTCTCCATTGTTCCTAAGCTAATGTGAGGGACAGAATTGAGTAGATAGACCATTAACCCTGCAATAGAGGAAAAGAAAAAGTAAAAAAAGATTGAAGCCGAGCAATTCCTAGAATTAAGACAAAAACAATATTAGTAAGCTAAACTTACATGGTTACTTGGTGATGTTTCTGTAACATTCATCTGGTGGATGGAAGAAATATCCGAATCAAGTCCTTAGAGGCGACTTTTTTCCTACACGTAGGGCAAACAGCTTGACAAGAAATTGCTTTCTTTATGCAACTGTTGCAGAAAATATGACCGCACTTTGTCGACGTCTCCTTAGTAAACGGACACATACAAATCGGACAGTTAAATTTCGGTTCCTCAACAGGAGGAGCAACGGCCTTGGACTTTTTCTGAACAAGCAAACGAAATTTAATGAGCCTAACTCCAAACAGAAATAAAAAAAAAATAAACCAATGAAACGAAATCAATAGTCCCTTACCGGCTTGTTAAGCTCATCACTTTCAACACTAGCTCGAGCAGAATGAAGCCTTGTGCGGCTTCTGCTTGACCTAGCAGTACTACCTGCAATCATACCATCATCACACTAACCATTTAAGACATGATATTGCACAACCAACCATTCAAATATATGTTAAGTCACCTGACTCTACATCAACGACTACGGGACCTCGGCGTGTGCCTGATGAACAGTTTTTAGCCTGGCACAAAGAACGAAACAGAATAAATAAACTTTCACACAAAACACCATAAGAAGAGACAATTGATTCAAAAGAAGAGAACAGACTCGAGCAAAAGCAGATGCAGTTGATTCAACAA